TCTACACGATGCGATTGGCTTAAAAGATTTGCGCCACCTTTTCATCCAATCAGAAGTAAAACCAAAGCCAATTGTGACGCGCTCGCATGCATTTTCCCGCGCTTTGCGTCAGCCACATGTAATTACTTCGAGTTTTGATTGGTTCAATGTATTGTCTGTGTCCTATGTGATTGGCCAGAGTAATTACTTTGGTTTTGGTTTTACGACACTCAAACGAAAACCACTCTAGAACCAAAAGAATTGCCTAGCTGTTCTTGTGAATTCTCTGCCCACTAATAATTTGCATCTAACAGGCAACTTGAGATCTTGGTGGGAGCACTGCATGTACCAAACAATATGAATCAGAAGCAAATCCAAAAGCAGATGGCAAAATTTTAAGGCAATTATTTTTACTTGGATTGTAGAGACAAGTGTTTCTGTATGCATCAGATGTATTATTCTGAAGAAATCAAACCCTGAATTGGACAGAGAAACTGCATACTTCTGGGAATGTTAAGTTTACCTTCCATGTTGGACATTTTCATGGATCCAAACTGATTTGTGAGTTTAGTTGTCTTTTCCATTTCTTGAGCCAAAAGTTCTGGTAGAACTTTTACTTTCTTCTTCAGGTCATGCAACTCTAGCTTCAGTTCCTGTTGGAGTACAGATAGAGCAACTATGTCAAATATATGCAGAGAAAGCAATCATCAAAAACATTACAAGAAAGGTTTGTTGCAAGAGCAAGTTGAGCAAAGACCAAAAAAGTTGTACTTCTAAAACAGCTCATTGCAGGGGTAAAGAAATGAGCGCAATGAACCATGCATAGACCAGGGGATGGAATCCCATAATGAAAGTGTATGATCTGAGGACTGGGGACTTTTGTTGCCCTGCCTAGGGTTTAAATTGCACATTTTGTTACAGTATTATTAAAGTGCTTCCTACATTATTCGTCCTTGAAGAACCAGGGGCAGTTAGTTGGGCTGGGAGAGAAGGGAAACTTTTATCGCACCTTTTCTTCCGGCCCAACTGACTGCCCCTGGGTCTCCGAGGATGATTATTATTCATGACCCATACAGGTATCAATTACATTGCAGGGCTGTGCATGAAGAAACAAAGCACAAAAGGAGAGAGAAAAATGGCTAAGCAGGAGCTAGTTAAGTCATAAAAGCACTTTTCTGCAGAGTGGGGAAGTTGCCAGTTTGATCCCAAGGATGGGATTAATACTCAGGGTCTTGAGATACCTGAGAAATGAAGAAACTATCTTTGCTCTCCAAACAGCTTGGCCCTCAGGTGGCTAACCACTTAAACTGGTGGTCTTATCTCCAGTTGAAGACATAAAAGTATTGTCTTTATACCAATACTTTTTTGCTAATAATATTGACAATCAAGTAAAGTGCTTTTCTCTTTTAAGGGGTCAACTGGAGCTTGAGTTACAGTGTCTCCTTTAGGGGTTTAATTCTAATTTCATTTTCAATGAAAATTCCCTGCATGCTTCTTGCACATGTAGTTCACCTAGCTGGGTGCACAAGAACAGTCATATTTGCAAATCAATGCTTAATGAATGCGTTAATTGGTATTTATTATTCATTCAAAATATTTCCCCAATTCTGATTGGCTAAAAGCACACGCATAATTCACCATAACCAGTTACTGATGACCAAATTTGGAAGAATTTTGTGTTTAAATAGGAAATGACGTCAAAAATGCAGCCCTCTACAGGTTTATAAGGCACCGTTAACAGAGAAGACCTGGAGACGAGGTTGAGTTGTTTTGGTTGTGAACTTGAAAAATGGTGGACATTTCACTTGTTTCAAGAGTAAGAACTATCCGAAAAAAATAGCTAAAACATGGCAAGAACAGCAAGAAGACAACTCAAAGGGCGACATCTGCTATTTGGAGAATATTTGCGGTGCTGGACAAACCTAAATTTTCACTATCGAAGATGAACTTAACATCGATGGATCGGTGGAGGTAAGCATGTTTTAGCCATGTTTTTAAACTAGGAATTATTTTGAATGAACAATAAAACAATTATTGAATTTGGCTTTCGTATCATATGAATAATTATGGAGATCTCAGAGGGTGTTATCAGCCGAGACGGATAACACCCTCTCCTCGATCTCCATAATTCTTCATAAGATACTCAGCCTCATTCATTAATTGTTAATTATTCTTGAAATAGAAATATTAAACAGATTTCCTTAAAGATGTTCTTGATGTTTTTGCTTTGCCGATTTACAATTTAAAATTTGTGATTTTTTTTTTCTACTGTGGTGAGTTTTAGCCATTTTTGCCTTCTTTTAATGAAAAATTAAAAATGAATAATTATGCTGACTGTGGTATGGCTTCAACTGTGAGAATGACATCTGATGACTTATTTAATTTAATTTACTTTGTTGCCAGTCTGGTTACATTTCCTCAATGCTCCTTAACATATATAGTACAAACCTGAACTTTGTCACTGGAGTTCCTTAGTGTCTGTAATGATGTTTTTCTAAAACCCTGTTCCTCATCAAACAAACGTCTGAAGTGCGTGGCTTCATGGCGGCAGGACCTGACAGAGCCTTGGCACTGAAAGGAAATTCTGAATTATATTTCACGTTTCTTGGTTATTTGCAGCATAGCCTTCTATTAAACTGACTACAAGTAGCACAGGCTGCTCAAATGGAATTACTCCAGGGATTATTCAAACGAGATCATTACTGTTGGTAATTGAAGGAAGCCATTTCACTTAGAACAATAGTCAACCATTTGAAGTCAAATTAAATTACGCACAATGTAATGCTTACGTGCTGGTAAACCAATATCAGCTGATAAGCATTAAGGGTACAAGTATTGGTGAAATATCAATTGATATCATTTACCTGAGCTAGTTTAAGATACAACATAGCATTTTCTGTTTCAAGAGCAACGATCCTTTCCTCTCTAGCCTGAAAACAACATCAATGGCATGAACAATTTCCCAGACGATGTTCAACCCTCAAAAGAATAAAGCGTTTAGAAACAAATCGAGCGTAAAATTGATCTTACCCTCAACAGATTTTCCAGTTTCTGAACACGGTCCTTCAGTTGTTGATCGCTTAACTCAGGCATTTTTCTACGACCACGGGAGAAACTTTGGTAAGGGCTATAGTTATAGTTATATCCTTGCTAATTGATAAAATCAAAAGCACATTTTCCCGGCCTGTAATGTAATGTTAACCGCGTCAACTTCTCTTTGACAACCAGAAAATGCGTCTCTTTCTTGTTTACCTTATACTGCGCCCGCCGTAAATTCGAGCAGCTGTTGTTCATTTTATGCTCATCTAAACATGGTCATAACGGTCAAATATGGGTATCGAATGGCCCCAGGTCCTCTCTCTGGTCCAGTTGTCTTTTGGTGCTTTTTTTCAAAACAAAGAATAATGTTTCGTTGTGGTCGAGGAAGGTGTTTTGCAAACAACTATAAAGATTTCTCTGGAACGTTGGGAAATGTCGAGTATCTCAAAAATCTCATTCCAAATGTTTTGCAGTTAATTGAAAAACAAAGCCCTCCTGAACGTTCGAGTTGTGACGGAGGTCTGTATGTCGGTGGTGCTGGTATTGGGTACGCTTTTTATGCTGTAGCTGAGAGCTCTGCACAGTTTCTAGTGGCAAATACACGGGAGGATTGTCTCAGAAAGGCCCTCGAGTACATGAAGGTACGATTGATTAAGACATCATTTCCACACAAACGCATAAAACCAAACAAAAACGCTAGCATAAGATAAATTTTGTGGTCATAGAAAGATGTGAAAGTTTTTTTTTTTTTAATATCCAGCCCCCAGCCCCATACCATGAATAAAATTTTCAAAGGGTGGGGGGAGAGGGGTGTTAGGGGGCTAGTCAACTCACCTTATCCTTTGGAAGGGGGTTGGTGGCAATGTAGACAGAGGTGGTCCAAGAGTCCAAGCTATTTGGGAGCCGTCAACATAAGTATGACTTTGTGTAACAGAGTATTTTTAAAAGTTTGTTAGGGAATAACTTTTTCATATAAAAATTAATTGTACCATTTCTTCTTCTGTAACTGTGGAAATTCAATCAAACTTATTTGCTTTGGCAGTGGTGTGTAAACTTGATCTGATAACCAGTTACTCTTTCTCTTTTTGGCTTGCCCCTCTCTATATATTTTCCTGAAAATCTTTTGTATGAAATAAAGAAATATTGAAAATTTTAACCTTAAAAACAGCCAAAGGGTCTAGGATTTTGTCCAACTTTAAACGATTATTTTTTAAAACAAATTGGAAGGAGACCAAGCTCATGCATTATCCACTCGCTAGGACAATTATTGGATGAGGTTGAGCAAAATACCATGATTTGTCAGTGGCGAGCAGATAAATTATTATTACCTCAGCCTTTGGCTTTGGCAAATACCATAAAATTCCGAAAATAAGCCCCTCCATGCATAAGCCCCTCCAAATATAAGCCCTCCAAACCAGTAATCCAAAAGACCCTCCATGAATCACCCCTTCAAATATAAGCCCCCCAGGGGCTTGTACTTGGAAAATTACCCTCAAATACAAAGTAATACAAAGCAAAAACAGTAAATTTAATTCCAACTATAAGGCTAGCCCAGAATTTTACGGTAATTTATTGATCTACGAGACACTGACAAATCACAATATTTTGCGATAACTGAGTTCAATAATTGTTCTATCATTCAATCACCAAGTTTGTTTTTTAATAAATATCTTCAGGAAGCAAAGCAATCTGCCATTTTTCACACAAGAGCAACCAGAAGAAGGAGAAAAGTGTGGTTTTGTTTACACATGAGCAGAATATTATTAATTGCAGCCAAGCACAGTTAGATGACATATTGCACATGAGCAGACCATAATTTGTAGGCAGTTATTTGCAGGTCTCATAGTTGGCTTTCGGCCTACGAAAAGTGAAGAACAATTTGCATACAATGATGATGTTGAATAGCTGTCCGATGGCGAACCAATCAGATTGCTTTAAAGACCAAGATCACTGAGTGTGTATATTAATTTTCAAGGCTGTGCTCTAAGGAAAATTGAGGGGTACTCTGAACCTGTAATCTAGGGTGCCCAGCATATGATTTGTATGAAAAATCTGAGATTTTCTAGTCACCCAGGAGCAAAAGTTGGGCACCAGGGGCCACCAGGCCCTTCTAGAGCACAGCCCTGATTTTGATTTAATACTAATTTTATTGGAATCAACAATTTCATATTTTGTAGGTAAGCCTTCAAGACGTATCCAAAATTAGTCCTCAAGAAGATGGGATTGGGGCATCTTTCCTTCTGGGACACGCAGGGCTGTATGCTGTGTCAGCACTTGTCTTTAATGCCTTAGGTTTGTGTGTGTTTTGTTGTTGTTGTTCTTTCGGAGAGTGAACCATCCAGAGGGTATAGTGATTGAAGTATAAACAGACCTTTTCTTCAAAAGTTGTGATTGTGAAATTTGTTATCATTATCATTATCATTACTACTACTACTGGAATTGAGAAGGTGGCATGAAATTAATTTTAACGTTTTTTTTTTTAAATAACTTATAGACCACCAACAAGAGGCAGACTATTGCATTCAGAAATTTTTAGAGATGGGCAACATCTGCCGTCCTATAAACTTCTTCCCGCCTGGTTCTGACGAACTGTTTGTTGGAAGAGCTGGCTACTTGTGTGGCTCACTTATCTTAAATAAAAAGCTTGGGAGGACTGTGATATCTTCAGAGGTGACTAGGCCCTTATTTGATGCTATTATAGTGTCGGGTCAGCAATACTCACAGAGACGCCGATCAAAGAGTCCACTTATGTATTCCTACTATAGAACGGAGTACTTAGGTAAGTGTCGAGTGCAGTGAGGTTTGTATTTGCTTGACTTTTGATAATTTTCTCCTCTTTTCCTCCTTTTGTGGTTGCCTGTCATACAAACTATATTTGCAGTACAGCCCATGTACATTGTAAGCAGTTTGAAAAGTGTGGTAGGCAAAATGTTTCGAAGGATTCCTATAACTTTAGATTTTTATAAATAAATTGGGAATCAGCCTAGGATAAAAAAAATAATAATGAACTGAAATCGAATTTTACCTATAACAGTCAATTTTCAGACGGTGGGCCTGTCTGCTTGCCGATATCGTCGCTGCAGTCAAACGGAGAGCAAGTGGACCAGCCTGCCTTCTCATATGAACACAATTTTTTTTTTTTGAGGAAATATGGCATGAGCTGAGCCAGCCCAGCTAACCAGGCTGAATTATGAACAGGCTACGAGAGTTTTAGACTTATCAGTGGCCAGTCTAAATTAAGAACAATTTTAACTCCACGGACTACCCATAGTGATATGTCATACCTGTCAGCCACGCACCTTTTTTTAATTACAATTATTAGTTCTGGAGGCGCTTTTCTTAAAAACAAGAAGAAGACGAAAAAAAAGGACGAATTTCCTGACCTTTGCGTTTAGAATAAACAAACTTGGAGAAATACACTTGGAGAAATACACATACGACTCGGGAAGATCTTTCCTCATAGATCAGCGATGGAGGTACGGTGGAACCCGGTTAATACGGACACAAAGTGGACATGCTAGTGAAAACACAGAAAAGTTTCCGTTCTCCGTATTCATTAATCGGTGACCGTAGTAAATGAGTTATTTTTAGAGAAAATGTAGGAGCTTCTCGTAACGAAACTGCCCGTTATATGGGTCTCCGTATTGCGCCGGGGGGTTCCACTGTACTGATAAACTAAAATGAACTGATTGCAGGTGCTGGACATGGGCTTTCTTCAATACTTCAGATGCTTCTCAACTTTCCAGAACATATCGCCAACAGATCAGATGTTGAAGCACTCATTCACCAGTCTGTTGACTTTGTCCTCTCGTGCGAGATGCCAAATGGAAATTATCCCCCGGTCCCTGGGGAGTTTCGTCCCCAGGAGGATGAGTTACTGCATTGGTGTCATGGTTCCCCGGGTGTGGTCTATCTTTTGGCCAAAGCTTATCTCACGTGGAAAGATAACAAGTACTTACAAGCTGCTAAAAGATGCGCTGAGCTGACGTGGCAGAGAGGACTATTACGCAAAGGGCCTGGGATATGCCATGGGGTAGCTGGTAAGGTTTTTGAGCTTCTAGTGACATGCCTGCCTCTAAGTTGTCTTGAGAAACCGAAAACGTACCTCGGTATTAAAAAAACGGCTTCAACGCCATCGCTCTCGCTGTGCTTCAGTCCATTAACCGTGTAGGGATGAAAATGATCAATAGATTGCGGAGCGCTGCGCGCGAAGTCCTATCTCTTAGACAAAGTAGTGAACCTGTCGAGTTCAACAACTGTGTTGCATACAGACGATCACAGTACCCCCAAACTAAGTGCAACTGATTGGTGACACACACAGGAATGATAAAGTGGCGGATTTTTGACATTTTTAACCTACCGTAATCGATGCTCTGTATGCTATACTAGGGATCTTAAGCAAAGACGACGATGACGACGACAACGAAAACGGTAAAAGGCAAAAGGTTTAGATAAGTAAAACAACAACCCTAGCTGCACGTGCATCAGGCTTTTTTTTTTTTTGTACATTTCTGTGCTGAAATTGCACGACTGCGACGTGAAAGTGCCTAATTTCACGTTTTGTGAGGACATGAACTCAAGTCGAATAGAACGATTTTCTAATTTTTTTTTTTTTAACTTAGATACAGTCCTCTAGAATTCAATTCCAAAAAAATTAACAAATGAAAAAATTGAACGACATGGAATGAGAGCGATGAATTATAAAACAGCGTGAGTCTAATTTTTAAGAGACGATTTAGCCTGCGTGGCTTGGAAGTAGTGGGCACAAGAAAAAACTGGCATGCGAGAAGGAGACACGCGTGTCTCCCTCGCTCGCGCCCGTTCTCTCTTTTGCTCACTACTTCCAAGCGCCTGCTGCGCAGGCTAGAGACGATTACGTCACCGTCGTCGTCGTCGTTGCTTAAGCTCTCTGATGCCTCTCCAGTAGGCCCCGCGTCGACGCCCTAATTTGACAAGTACTCTCTTGTTTGTTTATAGGTAGTGGCTACGTCTTCCTATTGCTTTATCGACTCACCAAAGAAGACCAATATCTTTATCGCGCCCAGAAGTTCTGCGATTTCATGCAGACAGATGAGTTCCAAAAAGGAGCCCGAACACCAGACTCTCCATATAGTTTATATGAGGGACTTGCTGGCACTGTGTGTTTCTATGCTGACCTTCTGAATCCTTCAACAGCTGCCTTCCCTTTCTTTGATGTTTTCTCGTAAAGTGTCGTTATGATACGTTGCAGAAACAAAGGCGTGACCTATTGAAAACGCAGGAGACTCCGAGTCCGTTGTAGTGACTTATTCAGGCCCGGCCTGCTCGGAAGATGGTCGACTTTAATTTTACCCAGAGCTGGGCGAAATTCTAGTTACATTATTATCTTCCAAGAACATGTTTTAAACTGGAGACACTGTTGACCTCAAATAATTAATAACGAACCAAGACAGTATACAAGAAATAGAAGACAGTATACTAGAAAGTAAACGGAAACGTGAGATAAAACGTTTACCTTTAGTTAGAGGGTGCAAAGAAAATCATTTTTTCAGCTTGACATTCGGGCAAGCTGAAGCTAACATTTACTGGCGCAGACATCATTTCAACTGGCCCCAAAAACTTTTTGACGAGCAGAATTGATTTCACAGTTCTTCTGTTATTCGATTTCCTTAATACACATCACTTGCCCTTCGGGCAAGTTAAAAACAGGGTTCACTGCCCGATAGCAAAATCCACTAGCCTTAGGCTATCGGACACTACTTTCTTTGCCCCCTGACTGTTAGCAGTAATCTTTCTTGAGCAACTGCTCTTTTTTGCTGAGTAAAAAAAAGACTAAAGGCACTAAATTCTGCAAACATTTAAAAATTCGCCTTACTTTAGTACACCAGAGCCCATGTAAGCCATCGTATTAACAACAATGATTGCTCGGATTGTCTAATCTTATCATGTAAAGATAATCGGTCGACTCGATGAGTGTAGCTCTGGCATTAAAAAGCATTTTGAACTTTAGCCTGCGTGGCGGGCCCAAAAAATGGAGAGGGAGGGGGGAGATGGAAAAAAAGCGCGAATCAACCCTGACCCCAACCCCCTTCCTCTTCCCCTTTCCTCCTAATACCCTTCCCGTTTTGACGCCTACAACGCAGGCCAGCGTGCAAAGAAAGTCGTGTCCGATAGCCCGGAACTAGAGGATTTTGCTTTCGGGCTAGTGATTTTTGTTCTTAACTTGCCCGACGGGCAGGTGCTGTTTTTTTTTTGGAAATTCAAATTACAGAAGGATTATTATCAATCCTGCCAATAAAAAAGGGTATTGGGGCCAGTTGAAATGACTTGTGGGCTAGTACATGCAAGCTACAGCTTGCCGAATGGCAGGCTTTAAAACTGACTTTCTTTGCACCCTGGCAGGCTATTTGAACTTACATTATAACTCCTAACTCTCTTACCTGCATTAGGTTACCAAGTGCCGGATTTGCATATTGTTCCTTGGAATATCTGGTCCCCTATCTTATTTCGCCAGGTGATGTTTCCTGAACAGGCTTTCTATATGGTGGAAGGACGAAGGCGATAATGCGCATATATACGGGGAAAGAAAGGGGGTGGGGAGGGTCATCCTTCTCTACATACCAAGCTCGTTGGTGAGTCTGTTTTCAGTCTCAGTACTGATAATGTTGCTGCTTTATCCAAAGAAAGAAAAGGAGAATGAATTGCGCGGACGCCATTGCCAAATGTTTTCTAATATATATCTTGATCTTAAACGTTTTATTGCACACAGTTTAGTATGAAGGTTGTAACCTGCTGACCCGGTTGTCTGAGGCTATGTTCAGGAAAATAGTTGCTTTCTTTGCGATGGTAATAGACCTTGTCACGGTTTTCGACGCCATCTTGACGAGCAGGCAAACGCGTGAGAAATTACAGTGTTTGTACGGGAATCTTATGTCGACCAATTTCCGTAGAACGGCTGCTCTGAAAAAAAATATATGAACTGTAAACTAAAGCTTCACTCCTAAGGCCTTCGACTGAAAAAAATTGAGGGCGTTACATGCGCTAGAAGACCTAGAGCCACTTTTTAAAATTTTCTGAGCATTTGTCTGTAAGAAAGTCCTGGGAAAAATTACAGACAAATATATGAAGAATGTAAAGCAAGCCTCTGAGGAAATTTATAAATGTACATATAAGCTCGTCATATCGAGGTTTCACTGTTATAATTGAATAAACAAGAACGCGCTTCAGGCGTCACTCAGTCTCACCTCATTGGAAATTAGATCTAGAAATGAGGAGGTGATTAATTCTACACGAAACAAGATTTACTCGCTAAAGGTTTTTTACTTCTTACTTTATGGACGTCGATACTTTTGACTTGTTTCTGAATTGATTTAGTACACGTGTTAGCGACGACTGGAAATACTACTGCGATCGCAGGCTGTACGCGTGTATAAATACACGAAAATTCATGGGCCTCGTATACATCATTGCCAGATATATAAAAAAAGTAATTTACATCGCAAGTTATTTCAATCACATCGCCGAAAATAAACCACATACTCATCACAAGATCCGTTTGCATACAATGAAAGTTTACCCGACCATCTCAGTTTTGCTAATTTAGATTCTTTTTTTAGACTACTCAGTAGTGTTCACTTGTTCCAAAGTAATCAACGCTTTCAAGCGATAGAATTCGTGGACCGATACGTTTCGGAAAAGCTTTAAATTTAATCTTCCCTAAACATGCGTGGCTTCAATCACGCAACGATTCTTAGTCCCACTTTCCACGGTCTGCGCAGGGAACGCCTGGCACAATGACCCCCCGTTTGTATACAAAATACGACGGA